AGATTATCTGCATTCTTATTTGTACTTTTTAAATAGCATTTTATGTTTTTTTTATTATAAACAGCCCTGACAGTTTATGACATGGTGCTATAGTAATACCTGTATTACAGATAAACATAACATAAGTAATCACTGAGGCCTTGTGATGCTGATTGTAGTTTGGAGTCTAGGGCTGATTGTAGTTTGGAGTCTGACAACATCTGGTTATCCACCCCTGTGTTTAAATCAGGGTTGGCGTATGTCCTGAATCTCCCTGACATAGCCAGTAATTGACCGTCAGAAATAGTGTCCGGGCAGAAATCGCTGAGACGTCCAGGAAAATCCAGACGCATGGCAACACGTGTCAGCTGTGTCTCTTTTTTTGTCAACTCCTCTTAAAAACAGCTTTTAAAAAAACAATTTTTCTGTTCCGATTTTCACTTTTGGAAATATGGCAACCCTAGTTAAAGGCATGTAACTCAGTGTGTATACATTCTGCCCCTTGCCTCCTCCTTCTTCCTTCCCCACCCCTTGTTGTTGTAAGCTCCTTTGCCCAAATCTGGATGGGAAGATCCTAAGGGCATGGATAAGTTTGTGCCACAGAAATCACCCTCATCGCTAGAACATAAATGGAGCCCTGCTGGATGGTTCATATTGTCCAGGATCCTTTGATCTCCCCTCCTGTGATTTACAACAACTGGTGTTTTTGAAGGCATGCTTTTTCCAACAGTGGAAGCAGAACAGAGCCGTTTCGGCTAGTAGCCTCTGAACATCCTTATCCTCGATGAATTTGTCTAATCCTCTTTTAAAACCATCCAAGTTTGTGGCCATGGTCGCCACTACCTCTTGCAGGAGCAGAATCCATAGTTTTAACCGGGTAGTGATAAAGCGGGATATCAAATCCAAACTCTTCTTCTTCTTCTTACCGTCTAAATATTCTATTATTATCATTATTATTATTTTGGCCTGCAGGGGCTGGAACAGATATACAGCCAATGCCTGAGCCAAAAATCCACCTATATCTATACTGTAATCAATAAAGATGTGGCCATTTCTAATCCAGATCATTGTCTGTTTGAGTTTATTAATCACAACTTACATTTAGCCACTGCCCGGGGTTGGGTGGGTGGCACTGCAACTGGGCCTGCAGCAAACAAACTTTGTGGTGAGTTCCTCCACTTTCTTTTTCAGAAAAAAGCACTGGTTTTAACTATGTAGAGAGCCAGTGTGGTGTAGTGGTTAAGAGCGGTAGACTCATAATCTGGTGAACCGGGTTCACGTCTTCGCTCCTCCACATGCAGCTGCTGGGTGACCTTGGGCTAGTCACACTTCTTTGAAGTCTCTCAGCACCACTCACCTCACAAAGTGTTTGTTGTGGGGGAGGAAGGGAAAGGAGAATGTTAGCCGCTTTGAGACTCCTTCAGGTAGTGATAAAGCGGAATATCAAATCCAAACTCTTCTTCTTCTATGTACTGCATGAATACTTTCTTTTTTCTGCCCTGAATCTTCCAACACTCCACTTTTCTGGGTATCCATGATTTCTAGTGTTATGAGAGAGGAAGAAAAGCTTTTCTCTCATCACTTACTCCATGGCAGGCATAATTTTTAAAAACTTCTATCACGTCACATTTTACACATCTTCTCTCTGAACTAAAAAGCCCCAAGAGCTGCAACTTTTCTCCATAGGGGAGTTGCTTCAGCCCTGCCACACATCTCCCAAGTGCACACAATACTATTTTCTGTAACAGTTTATGGCATATACAGTGCTTTTTTTTCCTTTAAAATTTTTTAGGGGTACTCTCATTTTCCTTATATTGAAATGCTGCCCCTCAATGAGGCCAAACTTAGATTCACAAAATGTGTGGGGGTATGCGTACCCCCACGTACACCCCCCAAAAAGCACTGCACATATATATCAATAAATTCAAAATAAATACAGCTGAAGCTGCAATCCTATGCATATGTACTTAGCAGCAAGTCCCACTGAACTCAGTTAGGGCTTCTGCTCAGAGATGCACAGGATTTCAGTGCAAGCTTTAGGATCGCCAAAAGAAGCAGATGTCATTGCTGTGACAGCAGAATCTGACTCACTGCTGCAGAACCTTATATTCCATTTAACTAACACAAACACTCATCCCCGACAGCTTGTTTTCCAAATGAACGTTTTCAGGGCGCACAGAAAAGAGTGCTGTTTACATTCTTTGGGGAAGAAAAGGCAAAAACACTCCAGCCAAAATCTGCAGCGCTACGTGTTGCAAATTAAATGTTTGCTCCGAGTAGACAAAACCAGAAGAGCTACTTGGCCTTGCAAACTCCACCAGCAACAGAAATGACAAAACGGTTAATTGCTTCTGGAGCGCACGAGAACCCTAACTGAGCGAAAAAACAAGACCTTTCGAGAATTTTGAGCTAAAAATGTTCTCAGAACACTGTGCCTCAAAAGAAAACAGGAAGCCTGTCCCAACAAGATCTGGACATCTGGACATATTAGTCTGGGACATTACAACTGGCAGCACCGAGAATTGTACGCTGGTGCTGTGGAACTCCTTCACAAGGGAAATCAAGTAGAGCCACCCTTCTCCCTTGCATTCAGGAAACTTGTGAGGCATTTATTTATTTATTTATCCAGACATTCAGCTGATGGTTTTACAAAGGTTGGGTTTTTTTTGGTTTGTTTTTTGTTTGTTCTACCGTGTTTAATTACTACCCGCAGCACATTCTAATGTTGCTCTGAATATTGCAATTCATGTAACCTTGTAGTTGTGAACCACCACAGGTTCGCTTGGGAGAGGGAGGGTGGCTTATAAATCTGGAACAAAAAAAATAATGTTTGCGCTCAGTGGGATTCCCAGTTTGCTATATCAGCAGCACAGATGAAGGTGAGAAGGGTGAGATTACTGGTGAGCAGAATTTTAAACATCCACTCCTGGCACTGCCGTCCCCCTCGCTCCCCGTGCCTCCATTGCTCCCATGACACAACTGAGCACCAGCAAAGAGGAGGGCGAGCACCATTTGTGTATGGAGGTTTGTGTTTTGAATGCAGTTCAGGGATGTGTGGTGTGTGTAACCACGTATACGAAGTGGCAAAGTGGTGTGTGTCGCCATCTTGGTCATTCCCGCATTTGAGTTGGCCACCTTTGGCATGAGGCCCTCAAAGGGTTGGCTGTTAGTGAATGTGACCTTTGATGGCGGGGGGAGTCCCATACCCAATATAAAGGATTGCAGACATAGGCTATGTGCACACTACCCATGCAAAACACATTTAGAGCACATTGTTTTCTGCCCAAGAATTTTTGGAACTGTAGTTTACTCCCTCAGAGATAATTCCCAGCACCCTTAAACTACAGTTCCCAGAATACTTTGTGGGGAAAGCCATGCATTTAAAAGGTGCTTTAAATATATGATGATTACGCAGTCAGCCTTAAGTTTTCATTTGCCTTTCAGTACTAGACAGTCTACACAGTAGAATACTTTATTACACAACACCAAAGCAAAGAACATGCTTTCTAGCTTCCAAATAAGCCCCAGAACAGATAGAGCAGCCCCACACCGCCTGCAAGACATCTACTAACTTCTTCTGCTATTGCACAAGTTAGCCTTTAACTTCGGAATTTTGATCTGGCAGCCTAAAGCTACAGAGTGTGCCTTTCCTTCTGTGTTTATTATGACATCCTAAAATTCTAAAAGAAGAAGAACTTTGCTAACCTGATACAGGAGTCCTATAGACCCCAGTTAAGTCATAGTTTAAAAGAACAGGATATGACACACTCAAATTTAATGCAAACATATTAAATTGTTCTAAGAACAGTTGTTCATATTCCAGCTACAACTATTGGAGTGGGTGTGTTATCCAGAGTCTGAAGTGATCCCTGTTTTTGAGTCTTATTCCACAGATTATTTCCCCACACAGAGCTGTAGCTAGGTGATCTTACACCCCTGGCAGAACCGTCCAGATAGCGCCCCCTAGGCATGGACAAATTAGCTCTTCTTTCTGCCTCTCCTCCAACCCCGCCCCTTCCACCCATTCAATTCACCCTCCATCTGAAACCATTTCTTACGAGGCAATAATCAATTTTTATATTTATGGACATACTATTAGCTGATTTTGTGGGGGGGGGGGATTGCCTGCACCCCTGGCAGGGGCCCACCTCGCCACCCCCTAGCTACAGCCCTGTCCCCACAAACATTATTCATGCACCTTTTCTTCAATAACCACTGCAAAAATCCTTCTGGGAATATTATTTATTCCTTTTCTTGCTCTTTTTGAAGAGAAAGTACTGGTTAACACACCCTTGCCTTAACTATATCAGTTTAGCTGTTAGGTTGTTAAATGAGAGCTTTTCACCATGCTGGTCATCAGTGATTCGTTTTTCTTCCCCGGCATACTTTTAATGAATGCAGCAAACAAATGTAATATGTAAGCACACCACAAGAGCGGACGGCTGAATGCCGTGGACATTCAAGAACTTTATTGTTCATGAAATCTGAGTTGGCACAGATCAGGGGAGAAAAGTTTTACATGTATCCTACCATGCACCCAAAGGCAACAGGGGTTAAATATTCAATCAATAGGAAATATTTCAAAGGAGAACCGAAAGGAATATGACCTTTACATTATGTATCCTTGTTCATGTGAAGCTATCTGCTCTGCCCTTCCAAAACAAGAGATGGAGCTACACCAACAATGCCAATATCTTATACATATACCTTATACAGGCCAAAAGGGGACTGATTGCAGGTTTGCTCTGGGAATCTTCCCACATACCTATATTTCCTTCCCACATACACACACCATCCATGAAAAGCTACCAGGTTTCTAAAAGGTGCCAATGGGCACACAAGATAACGCAAAGCATTAGTGTGTACCCAGACCTCCACACAAACTGTGGCCCCTTCTCTACCATGCACACATTTCTTGACTATAATAAAAGGGAATGGAATGACGACTGTTCAGTTATAATCACAGAACTGTAGACTTGGAAGGGACCACAAGGATCAAGCCCCTGCAATGCAGGAATCTTTGGCCCAATATGGGGCTCGAACTCACAACCTTGAGATTAAGAGTCTCATGCTCTACCGACTGTGCTGGTTCCGAGCCACTATGAATCTCACAAGCTCTCATTATGGCAAATTGGAAGTTTCTACCAACAGAAGTCTGCCCAATTAAAAAAGAAGAAGATACAAACTTAATCCTCTTTGAATGTCTTAGATAACAGACCATACAAGAGAAGCACACATAAGATGTGAAGTTCTAGGTTGCAAATATAGAAACATATATTTTTTAAGACAACAAACTACCCGTGCTCCAAGTTTAATCCTTTCAGCAAAACCTGGACATCATCCACCCAGTGTTAAACACTTTTAAATCCAGTTGACGGCAGTGAAACATACTAAATTTGAGTTGATTTTTGCTGTACCCCAAATTTATATTTTCAGGGATTGGAACCTAGGAGTAACTTAAACACATAATGTAGCACTTCATGTGCATAGATAACTTCCCCAATAAAACCATCAGTTCAAATCTGCCTCTGCCATGAATACACTAGGTGATTCTGCATTCTCAACCATGGGCGTAGCGAGGGGGGCAAGGAATCAATAAAAATTAAAATTAAAAGCTAACAGAGGTTCTGCCCCCCCCCAACAAAAATCCTGGCTACGTTCTATGTTCTCAACTGAAATATGTGTATTGAAACAGGTGTATTGTAATGATCACTGAAGATGTATGAGAAACATTTTGCACAATCAAAAAAGTGTGGTACAAATCTGAAGTATTAAAATTGCCAATTCCTGAAGCGTTGAAAGGTGAAGGGGGAGGAAACGACCCCTTTCAACTTCGCCTCCGATGGTGGCTAAAAATGTATTGAAAGGGAAACCACATAGAGAATGCGGCTGAAGCGTGGGCAGGAAGACAGGGTCGTCCAGCAGTAAAAGGGAGAAGCATCTTCGTCGACACAGGCTGGCTGCGTTGAAGAGGATGAACTAAAAAAATTCCGCCTTTGCACAATCGGCAAAGCTAGTAATGGGGGAAGATGGCGTAAAAGCAGCCGCGGAGCTGATCTGATGAGGCATGGACGGAGCAGGGGAGCGGGAGGGGCAGAGGTGGCGGTTGTGCAATCCGAATTCACCCTTTAACCTCCTGGGAAGCTGCCGGACCTTCCCAGCTCCAGCCTCCAAAAGGGGATCCACTCGACTTAAACTGCCTTGCACTGGTGCGTCTCTGGGCGGCTGCCTTCAGCCTATCCCAGACTCTGGGTCTTCAAAACTTCGGGGAGGGGAGAGAGAGAGTTGCTCTCCACCAAACCGATCGCCCCCTGAAATTTCCTTTCGCCACTGACGACGAACGCTCAGTTCAATCCGGTGTCACTCCACACATGATCTCCAGCTTTTGGAGAGACGGTGCTGGAAAGCCAGCGCTCTGCAAACTGGCGCAGTTCAAAAGTTTATGTGAACGCAATCTCTCTTCCCTCCCCGCCCCACAGAAAAAAAAAAAAACAGTTCTTTGAATCCTACTCCGCTATTGACGAAATGCAACCGAAGCTGCCAGCGAGCTGGAATACGCGCAAAGGCGCGCGTGGTGGCGATCCGTTGTGGCACCAGGGAAGGACTTGGGGGCGCAGAGGTCCAGGGCAGGACGCAGCCCCAAACTCAACAAGGATGGCTTACCGCCGGGGAAGCCAACGCGGTGCCCCCGACCCAGATTTTGTGGACCCCCAACTTCATTCAGTGAGCATGGCCAAGAATTAAGGGAGGTGAGGGGTTGTCCAAAACATCTGGAGGGCGCCATGTTGGCTACCCTTGGTGAAGTAATGCTGATGACCCCCTAAAGAGGGCTCACCCGCGTAAGACCATTAAGTCCAGGGGCTTAAATTTCCTAACTGTACTCCTGCAGTTTTCTGACCGCGCATTTCTCCCTAGCCTACGTTGGCTGAAAATCAGCTGTGCATTTACGGTAATATTTTCGGGGAAAGGAGTCCGGAGTGTGAAGTTGCATCTGGAGTGGCGGCGCCTTAGTGCAAGCTGTCGTTATTCCTGCCTCTAGAAATATAAATATGCCACGGGACGAAGAATGGGAGTCACTCCTTTTACTTTTTAGAGGATTCGACTCGTTTCTTTTCTCGCGTAATAGCTCCCAGACGCGCGACAAGAGTGGACACCGACAAAGAACATGCTAAAGTCCCATTTTTGTCGTTATGCAGACAGGCGCACCCCAGGTTACATTTTAACTGGCTGTCTAAAGGCCCACGGGCATGGGGATAAGGGGGAGCGATCTCCAGTGCTCCCTTCTCAGTTCCGGAGGTTCTAGAGTTACAGTAGTTCAACAGGTAAAGAGCGGAGCAGGATGCCAAAGCCGTTGGATTTTAGTAGCGTGAGAAGAGATCGTTTCTGGACCTCTCTGTTTAAGGTTGATAATCGCTTTCCGCCTCCTAAGCGTAGTTCTGTCTCCAAAAGACACTGGCACACACAGACACGCACAAGGTGCAGATCTGCGACTGTTCCTTTGGCGAACAGCTTTCTTGGGTAAGTTTGGGAGCCTCCTATAAGCGTCAATTCCAAGGAAGAAGAGGAGGGAAGGAAGGAAGGGGGGAAGCTAGCCAAAGAGCTGGAAGTTGACCCTTCAAAAGTACGCAGATCTGGGAACGACAGAACCGTCACAGATCCCGGAGCAAAGCCAAGAAGAAGTAACATTATTTCTTTCGCGCCGCAATTCCAGTGAATAGCTTCAGTCATTCCCAAGGCATCGCGGCGAGATCCTGCCAAAATTCAGCGCGTCCATGTCCCGCGGATTTCAAGGGCAGAGTTAAGAAGAAGGGCGAAAAGCGCCCTTTGAAATCGACGGGAACCTAACCAAACGTGTTTTAAAATATATTACTACAGTATGAGTATTACAATCCAGCCTAAGCAAAGCTCTCGGAGGTCCCGTAGATTTCAGGGCAGATGAACATGTGTTTAATGAACTCATGAGAAACATGGGTTTTTAAAAAACAACAACAAAGGAACGTAAAACTGCTCAGCTTTGTCTGGATTGTACCCAACATTAAAAAATAAGACAAAAGTGTACAAACGTCAACAAGCGAATCGTACAAGTGTGTATGTATCATAGGAGCCAGCTCCTAGGGGGCGAGGTCCCTTCGACCCTCCAATAAAATATTTGGGGGGCCGCCCCCCCAAAATTGATAGGCATTTCTATTCAAATAGTGTGCATACGATGCGTCAAGTGATCGATTATGCAGGGCGGGGCTTGCCCAATATTTTATTCAAGTTGGCACCCCTATTGTGTATTTACACAACACACACTATATATATATACTATATATATATACACAATACACACACACACAGCTGTTTTGTTTTTGTTTTTGTGTGTGTGTGTGTGGAGTAGTGCCAACTTGAATAAAATATTGGGGGGCCCAGGTAAGCCCCACCCCGTATAATCGCTTAGAAGTCGCAACACCCACCCACAATTTAAATGACAATGCCCATCAACGTGGGACCCCACCATGCAACCCCAAAAATAAATTCAGGGGCCACCCTTCGTGAGCTATATGCCCATTATATCAAGATCAACGCTGAGGCCTTCCCATCCAACAGGCAGAACGACGATGATACAATATTGACAAGTTGTTGCTGTTGTTGTTATGACCTGATACGGCAGGAGAGACCTCAGCCGGAGAAGGGCCACTTTGGAACTGAGAGAAGAAAAGGACTTTTTCCTAAGAAGGGAAACCCCCACCCCCGATCGGCGCCGGATCGGGGAGGTGAGGGCGCCCTGCTGCTCAGATGCGCCCTGGGCGCCTTTCCTCTTACCTCTTCTTCTCCTTCTCCGCTGTCATCGTGGAAGCGGCGCCTCCGCTGCTCTGCGCGGCGTCTGGATACACGGGCTCCCTCGTGGGCGCGCCCGACCCAGGCAGGCAGGCAGGGGGCCTGGCTTGGGTGGGTGGGCAGGTCCCCGGTGGCCTTTGGAGAGGTGCAAGGGGCGTGCTGGGCTGCGCCGGCGGGCTCCCTCTTTCGGCCGCGCAGGTTCCCTGGTGGCGCTCCTCGTGGCGAGCGGGTCCGGTGGCGGCGGCGGCGGCGCTGCTTTCGAGGCTGCGATCCCGGGGCCGAGCCGCCCCTGAGCTGACCATACAGTCTCAGGACACTGCCGAGGATTGTACAGTCCGCTCAGGGGAGAGACGAGGCGGGGCGGGCGCTGTGCTCCCCTTCTTGCCGGGGGAATCGATGTGAAGAGGCAGCTGCGCGCGCGGGGCTCCCTTTAAGACGCGCAACCTTGGCCGGCGCTCCGAGAGGGGCAGGCGCGAGACGCTCCTCAGCCAGCCGACGGCTCCCGGCTCCAGCTGGAGCGGCCGACGGAGCGCCGGCCAATGGGCGGGCGAGGCGCACGCCGAGGGGCCCGCCTCCTCCTCCTCCTCCCCCGGCTCCCTCCCCGCCCGTCGAGCAAGTTTCTCCCGACTTGTGGAGAGGAAGGAGGGCGGCGGGCGAGACGGAGGGGCGCGCGGTCACTCAGAGAGCGCCAGAAAGGGGCATCGCCACAGGCGGCCTCCCGGGCACCCGAGGGCGAGGCGAGGCCCCGGGACCTGTTTGCCCCGGGAGCTGGGAGGGTTCCGTGACGCACGGGGAGGAGGAGGCAGGACACGGAACAGCTCCCCGGAGCCGTCTGAAATCTGCCAGGGCGAGTCTCGTGCGCCAGGGCCGGTTTCAGGCCCTTGCCATTAACTCCCAAGGGCAGGGGTGCCGACTAGAATAAACTATCGAGGGCGGGGAAGGGAGCAGGTATGCCCCGCCCCGTATCGCCGATCACATGACATGGCACGCGCACACAAAATTTGGGAATTATCCTCAATTTTGAGGGGGGGGGGGAGAGCCTCCTGAAATATTTGATGGAGGCAGCTCAACCCCCTAGGAGTTGGCTTCTATGCCTAGGGGCCAAGGTTCCTTCAGCCCCCTCCAATTGATGGGCATTGCCATTCAAATTGAATGGATACAGTGGTACCTCGGGTTACATACGCTTCAGGTTACAGACTGCGCTAACCCAGAAATAGTACCTCAGGTTAAGAACTTTGCTTCAGGATGAGAACAGAAATCATGCTCCGGCGGCGCAGT